CTCTCTATAAGGTGTGGTTATGATAGAGATTATTAAATATTTGTATTTTAAAAAAAAATTTAATTGTGTATTCTCAGTGAAGGTCCTAGTGTTGCTGACATCTTGGACAAGCTGAAGTTTGCTGCCCTAAGAAGTATAATATAATTTAAATTTTCACAAGGAGAAAAACTGAAAATGTAGAATGAGTTTATTACAATATACAACTTAATATAAGCTAAATAAAATCTTCATTATCCTTCCTAAAACATTTTTTTAGATCTGCAAATCTTTTCATTCATGGCACTTTTTGCACTTCTCTTCTTTACAAGATCATTTTCTATTGACAAAATAGCCAAAGAATTTAATCTGTCAGGAGTCGTGGATGACTGCAAATATGTTCTTAAATTAATGACAGTGTAAGCTCATGTTCTATGACAATAAAATATCTGTAGATATTCCCCTGTCATCATCAAATATTTGAACTTAACAACTTTAACAAAATATTGCAATAACAATCATAAATATGAATGATGGCTGTTTATTTTAAGAAGTGGGTACAAATGAAAAGATTTGAAATTGACAACTTTTTAAATTTAAATAGAAGAGCCATTAAAAATTTCTATTATCCCTCCCTCCTTTCTTTCATTCATTTTCTCACTGAAATCACAATATAACATGATGGCATCTTGAACTTTGATGGTACCCAAGGTGATTGTCAGAGTTGCCAGTCCCTTGAGTTAGCCCTGTGTATTCTTTCGAGCTTGCTATAATGTCTGTACAGCTATTCTTTACAGAAAGAAGTCATTATTTTTAGTTTTTCTGTTTGTTTCAGTCTTAAAGTTCTAAGTTCAGGATTAAAGTGATAATCCATGAATTTGGGAAAATAGTCATCATGGCTTTAATCACTGAGCTGGGTAGTACAAACTTAAACCCACTGGTAATTATGGCAGGCAGTAACTGAGCAGTACTAAATAAGAACAATACGTGGTATCCTGAGACATGGACAGTGCAAGAAGAACAGTGTACACCTCATAAATTTAATTCAAAATTCACTGAAAGTTACCTGAATTAAGAGACATCTGAAGAAGTTTTGAGTGAGCAATAGCCAAAACTTTGTAATAATAACAACAAAAATGAGAATATTAGTCTGAATGTAAATAATGATAACTCCTTATATCAGAAAATCAAACCTAGAAAAGTTTTTTAATTCCTCATTTTGTATTGTAATAATCAGTTGTTTGGGAAACTCTTTTTGAAGGTGTTGTAATGTCACATTTGTTATGGGGTTATCTTTTCTATCTTACATGATTACATTCCTACCAATTTGTAGCCAACATAAGATCTTGACAACCAAATAGCTTTAACTGAATTATTTATGCGCACAAATGATATGTACTTGTCATCAGCTGGAAGAAACAGACATTACTTCCGCTTAACCGATTTATGGCTTTTTAAATCACTAATGAACTGCTCTCCAGGAATACAGGATTTAAACTGAAATCTGATCAGAAACTGAATTTGATGAGACATTTTTATGACTCAACTGTGAAAAATGGCTTGCTGTTATTTTTTTTTTTTATTTATTTTGTTAATTTTTTTTTATGTTTCCATTTCTTTTTCAATTGTTTTTTTTTTTTTTTTAAATCTCTTCCTCTCCTACTACACCTTTCTAGTCTTTTCTACTCTCTTTCTCTCCTATGCCTCCTTTTCCGGTCTCTTCCTCTCCTTCCCTCCTCCTTTTCCGGTCTCTTCCTCTCCTTCCCTCCTCCTTTTCCGGTCTCTTCCTCTCCTTCCCTCCTCCTTTTCCGGTCTCTTCCTCTCCTTCCCTCCTCCTTTTCCGTCTCTTCCTCTCCTTCCCTCCTCCTTTTCCGGTCTCTCTTCCTCTCCTTCCTCCTCCTTTTCCGGTCTCTTCCTCTCCTTCCCTCCTCCTTTTCCGGTCTCTTCCTCTCCTTCCTTCCTCCTTTTCTGGTCTCTTCCTCTCGTTCCCTCCTCCTTTTCTGGTCTCTTCCTCTCGTTCCCTCCTCCTTTTCTGGTCTCTTCCTCTTGTTCCCTCCTCCTTTTCTGGTCTCTTCCTCTCCTTCCTTCCTCCTTTTCTGGTCTCTTCCTCTCGATCCCTCCTCCTTTTCTGGTCTCTTCCTCTCGTTCCTCCTCCTTTTCTGGTCTCTTCCTCTCGTTCCCTCCTCCTTTTCTGGTCTCTTCCTCTCGTTCCCCTCCTCCTTTTCTGGTCTCTGGTCTCTTCCTCCTCCTTTTCTGGTCCTCCTTCTTTTCTGGTTTCTTCCTCTTCTTCTTCTTCCCTCCTCCATTTCTGGTCTCTTCCTCTTCTTCTTCTTCCCTCCTCCATTTCTGGTCTCTTCCTCTTCTTCTTCTTCCCTCCTCCTTTTCTGGTCTCTTCCTCTTCTTCTTCTTCCCTCTCCACCCCTCCTCCTTTTCTGGTCTCTTTCTCTCCTCCCCTCCTCCTTTTCTAGCCTTTTCAGACATCATCTTTGAAGCTTTAAAAATGTTTTTTTTTATTGGGAAGATAGTCTTGCTGCCTTGTGTTCATTATATAGAGGGCAAAAATATAGGAAAAAATGCAAAAGTTATGCAATGTGATGTCTTTTGTTTTATTTCTGCATCAGAAACTGCTGCAATAGAAGTCTTTAGTCCTTGGAATTTTTCAAGGCTACTCGATAAAGAATCCTCTACCTTAAATCCTACCAGTACAGCACCTGTGCAGATATTTTCCCATTTTAAATCTTTCCCTTTGTTAGATCATTCATTCAGTGATGTAAGATCAAAACAAATGATGAACTGGAGGAGGTGTACACAAGAAATAGTTCACACAGGTAAGCTGGAGTCAAACCTTTACAAATTTTGAATAGCACAGAAGACTCTTTATTGCAGGAAAACAAAACTTAGAATTTTGAGAACCATAACAGCAATATATTACAGGTTCACATTCTAGCCTTTCTTCTGATCCTTACCCCAACCTTTTCCCCCTGCTTTCATATCCGGCCCCCAAAGCTTTGATTTTTATCAGAGATAGGAATATATTTCCTGACAAACAAGAGTTGGAAATATAAAAAGAAATTTAACCACTATTACTCTGACCATTGTGCCATAAAGTCTGAGGGTAATGCTCACAGCTTCTCAGACTCTTGCTTCCAGAAATCAGCTTCCAAAACCTTGGTTCTTATCAATGAACAGTCCAGGAAATTTTGGAGGGAAAAGTCCCCGATAATTGTGAGCCTCCAAATCTCAATAAATGTGGAGAATCTTCGCCTATTTGACAACTGTCTATGATAGCTTGGCGGTAGAAAAGCAGTCATCTTCAAGAAAGTACTACCTACTGGGCTGTAAAGACAGAACATCGGCCAACTACCAAAAACTAATTGAGATCAGCCTCCTTGCATCTAGCCAGCCTATGAACTCTCTCAACTACGAAATTTGTATCTTCCAACAGTTTCCTTCTATATAAGAACTCTGAACAAATCTACTACTCGCTTAAAGAACTTTTTAGGCACTCGGAGAAATATTTTGAGCAAGCCTTTTTATGAACATTTTTCTCTTCTTTTAAAGTTAACAGAATGTTCTTCTCCATTTCTTTCTCTCATAATTGTGCATATCCTTTTACCTTTTTTTGTGCATGTAAATAAATATTTTCTTTTATTGTTACACACTGAGCAGGAGTTTGAGTTTTTATTCTTCTGCCTGAAAAGAGAGAATTGTCCGCTCTAATGTTTCAAACCATTGTTGCTTCCTTTTTCAATTTTGTTGCATTTTTAACCTCAGCCCTTTCTTGTGAGAAAGCTGGGTCCAATTTCCTACAAGGCAACAGATCAACACAGAAAATGATTACAATAACACTGACTTTCAGTGGCCATACTGTTCCAACCCCTACTCAACTGGATTGTAGTTCTGGGTATGACAATAAACTACATCTGGCAGTAAGGCCTCTGATTAAGAGATTGGAGGTTTTGAGGAACATGGAACTACCTCTTAATTGCTGTTGTTTCCAGGCTCACCCTGGCCTAAGGTGTTAACACCTATTAGGGTCCCAGCTATGGAAAAATAGTATTTTTATTTTTGTTTGGTGATTCACTAAGAAATTATAAATATACATTATGGTAAAAATACCAGCAATGTATTTATTGAAAAAATGACCTGTAGTAAGACATTTTTTTTTTTTACCAAAATGACAATCAATACAACACTAAAGTATAAGAATACATTTTTATAGTAAAATTACCAGCAATATATTTTATCATTGACAAACTATATCTAAAAGAAAAAATGTTTGCTATGAAAGTATAAAGTTATGTACAAAATATTTGTAGTTGAAGCCATAAAATGGCATACAAAATATTTAAATTTAAGCATTAAATAGCCCATAGAAGTGTTGATATGCCACTAAACAAAAGCTAACCAACCATCTACTGGATTGGGTTGCAGAGCCATCTGAAAATTCATAGATTAATCTATACCAAGTTTTTTTCAGATATGAAACACTAATTGTGTGTGTATTAAAAAAAGCATAAAATCTTAAGTATTTTGTGAAATGTTTACTTGTTATAATATTTGTATAAAAAAAAGTAATCAATATCAACTAGTAATGCTACTCAATAAATAATATCAGTATAAAATAGTATCTCCACCAAATATGTATAAAATACAAGACATTCATTGTTTTTCTGCAAAGTAAAATTGTTACTGAGAATAATATTCTATATACAGACCTCAGTGTTTTATTAGAGATTTACCAAAGACATAACAGTTATGTTGAGGCATTTGAAATGTTCAAAAGGCTTATCACAAGAGTGAAAGACTCAAAGAATTAGCATAATGTTCAGCCATTCTGTCCCAAGGATTTATGGTTAAGCTTTGGATTTTATCAGGACAAATTCAATAAGAAATTCCTAAAGGTATTCCATCTTAAACAAAATTTTTTTTTCTGTTTGTTTTTTTTTTTTTTTTTTTTTTTTACCCAAAAGCATGAAAGAATTTTAATTGCTTATCATATTGGAGCTTTTACAAGCAGGTGAATGCAGTTAATTCCTGGAACATTGCAGTTGAGAAACTTGATTAAGGGTTAGATTAGGGTTCTATTTTCTTTCTTTCTTTTTGTAGTTTCTCTTTTTATCCTTCCCTCTCTTTGTTTCACTCACTCACCAACTACTCTCTCCTTATCTTTGTTGATTTTTCTCGACCACCTGCTCTCTTGTTTTGCATATTGCTCTCACTTGTTCACCCACTCTCTTCTCTTTGCCGCTCTCACTCACCCACCCACTTATTTTCCTTTGCTTTCTCTTTTGCTGATTTTTTTAATTTCTTTTTCTTTCTCCTCACTAGTTTCCTTGATCTTCTAATAAAGAAAATTTCTCTGACCTTAGAAATCAAGTTCAAATGTTTTCCTTTTTTCTATTGTTCTCCCACGCCATTTCATGATTGCTAACAATTTACTTTATTAATAATTTACAGCTCTACCTTTAAAAATAATGATGGGTGTAACAGGTTTAAGGGTCCAATAACATAAATTGGCTTCTGTTGCTAAAGATACTGAGAGAGAGAGAGAGAGAGAGAGAGGATTAGTAAAAACAGAATTGATGAAGATGCTCTTAACAATGCTCATGAAAATGAGGTTTTCAAGTTCTCAATGGCAGTTGAAACAATCGTAGGATGAGCATACTTCAAAAAGCAACAAAAAAATTTCACCCATTGTAGGCACACATTTACTTTTGAGGAGGGGTGTTGAAAAGTTCTCTGTTGGCTGGTTGATTTTGTTCAGCGACATATCAACCTCTATGGGTTATTTAATGCCAAACTCTAAATATTTTGTATGTAATTTTATACTTTCAGAGTACAGCTATGTTTTTTAGATATATATTTTGTAGATTATAAAATGTATTGCTGGTAATTTTACTATAAAAATGTATTTTTATATTTTTTAGTGTTGTATTGATTGTCATTTTCCTATAAAATTATATAGTTACTAATTTTATTATAAAAATGTATTGTTGATTTTTGTTTGGGGATTCACTATTTGCCCATAGCTGTGATCCTAACAGGTGCTACCACCCCAGGTCAGGGTGCCTTGCTGCCGGATGTAGTTTATTGTCATATCCAGGACAAGAAAAGTTATTGTCCTGATCCATTTTGCAAAAGTCGACAAAATATCAAATAATTTTATTTTTTCATTTTTGATTATTTTACTTTTTATATATTTAATTATTTTATGTTTTATTTTAATTTTTGTTGTTGTTTAGAGCTACAAGGGACAGGAAGTTGTGGAGAGCTATGATCGTCCACTTCCAGAAGAGACCTACTGCATAAAAGATATAATTAGAATTAGAAAAAAAGAAAACTTTACAGAAATTTTTGCCTCTTAAGTTTTTAAATGCGTCTTTTCTATTTCTTTTCAATGACTTGAAAAAACAACTTGTGTTTTCTAATGTTAGATTTTGTAAACTTTATCATATTTCACTGACAAAGCATTTAAAAAGTGTCATGGCTGATACATCTTGCAAGGAATGTTTGTCTTGACTTGTTATTTCATAAATGTTGAAGACAGTAAAAGCAATAGTTATCATCAAAAGGTAAACAATATATTTTTCTGATGTATCACTGGCTCTAAAATATCCCAGTTGGAAGTTTCTAATTTTAATATTTGTTAAAAACAAACTTAGTGTTGAATTTTTTTCTATGGCTAAATACTATTCATGATAAATGTACCAATTTTATTAAAAAAAATTGATTTTTGCTGATATTTGTTATGGTGCATAACTCATAATTGATACAATAATCATTAATATAAATGAACACACTACCACCCCAGTCTAAATGATTGGATTTCTCTGTATCCTTGGAAACAAAAAATTATGAATTGTATGTGCATTTAAAACTCAGTAAATTTAAAAATAAGTTATTCCAAAATTCGCTTGAGGATGAAACAGAACTAACGCTTTTAATTTAACTATATAATTATATTTGAAGTTTTTATCTTATGTTTTTGAAACATGGTAATTCCTGTATAGCGAAGGAACCATATTTTTAAATCATTTAATTTATAATATTTATGCTCTGTAAATTTACATTGAGCACTGTTTTGTAAAAATAAAAAAAAATCAATAAGAACACAGGATTATTTATCTTACTGTTCTTTCTTTTTATTATATATATATTCGTGTGCAGCACTTTTCACAACTCTCCACAACTTCCTATCCTTCCTAGCTGTTTATTTTATTTTTTTTTTTTTTACTATCTTCCCCCTCCCTGTTTTGCCATCTATTTACACAAGATTGTTATGTAGGTTACTTGCTGCTTTCCTCTGTCCCTCTTGCCTTCAATATATCCTGTGAGTGTCAAATTCTCCAAGCCTTCTTTTTTATGTGCCTCAGATATTTCAATTGTCTCTTTCTGATTATAAGTGTTCATTTTGTTTCCATTTTCCTTAAAATTTCATTGTTGTTTACAGGCTCTATCCATGGTATTCTCAGCATCCCTCTGTAGAATCACATTTCTGTTGCCACAAGTCTCCTCTTCATCTGTGAAGAGATTGTATAACATTCACTTCCATATAGGAGGATTGATATTACATAGCTGTTCTGCATCCTTTTCTTAATATTTTTAGTTTTTGGAAAGCATCTCTTGATATTCCAATGAACCTTAGGATTCCGGTGTCAAATTTTCCAGATATTTAAATTCCTATAGTTGCTTGATTTTGACATTTTAAATTTGCAGCACATATTTTGGGCGTTTCTTCTTTGAAATAACCATACATTCTGTTTTCTGACAATTGATGGTTACTATTTCCATCTGCAGCCTCTGTTTTCAACATGTCTTGTGACTCTTAACACGTTGGCTAACAAACCTTATTTCCCTTGTTGTCCCAGGGTCACAGCACTTTATATTAAATCTTGTTATAGTGAAATGAGGAAAACAATGAATGCAAAGGAAGCTGATAAAAAAACCCCAAAAAGTAAATCCATTTTGTGCTGAATGTGAAGATAATCTTCCCCTTTGCCTTGAGTGTTTCAATAAGAGAAATATAAAATAAGAATCAATTCAATTTTTCCTTGTGGTGTAGCAATATGTGCTTTTATATTCTTTTATATTTTTTCAAGAAATAAGACACTAGGAATATGTTTTTTTTTATTTATTTATTAGGATTGTGATTTCTATTAGATTAGAATTCTTGTTTATTTTACTTGTTGTAGACATCATTTTTGTTTCCTAAGTAAATAAGGTATACTTTTTTTAATTTCATAATGTTTTGCCAATTAAATTTTCTATTTACTCAATATTTTAGTGTATTTGAATGCATAGTATGGCTCTATGTAAAAATAAAAAAAAAATAACCCAAAAAAACAAGAGTAGAAAATTCAAAAGGAAAATGAAATAAGACAAAAATATTTACATTTTTTTGGGGGGGGGGGTAAAAAAAATGTGGTTTTGGTGTACCATGATCTCATAAGTAATCAATTATAGCATCCCGCTTTCAATAATCCTCGTAGAAAAGAAAATGGTAAACAACCCACTGGAAGGTCATGTGAACCTTGCAGATATACCACCATGACACTCTGGTGGGTTGTGTGGGAGAACATCTTAAATTATCCAAGACTTCTTTCTTCATAGTATTTTTTCTTTTTTCTTAATCCTTTAATCCTAAACAAGGCAATAATGCCACTATGATACAAGTGGTTACTGGGCGTGAAAGACAACAAGACTAGTAAGGAGAAAGGACAATAAATGAACAGGAAGACAGAAGATGGTGATTGACATTGCATTTAAATTTCTGAAGAATGTAGGTGACAAGGAAGCAAGAAACTGAAAGTGAATTCTATAGGTGACTAGTGCAATAAAAAAGACTATTAGAATAGAACTTAATAGTTACATCTATCTGTTTTAAAAAAAAAATAAAACAATGATACCTAATTGCTAATCTAGTAGTACATTTAAATTCATGGTGTAATGGAGAAAAGCTCAAGTCAAGATGCCAGCTTAGGACCAATAACATTGCAGATCCTTTGTTGTATTTTGTCGAGAATCTCTAGATATACAGCTGGAGCACCAGACCAGATCTGACAGGATGCAAGGATGAATGAGATGTCTTAACAATTTCAACTCTTTCTGATTGTAGATATAAGTGTCCTTGTCATTCCCATTTTCTTTAAAACTTCCTCATTGGTTACATGTTCTGTTCATGGTATTCTCAGCAGATCAAATACTGACATTAGTTAATCAGTTACTGGAATTATTTAACTCTAATTGGATTAATGAAACCAATTTCTCTAAGTATAACACTAGTTTTAAATTGGAGAAAAGAGCTCATCTCATTAATTATGAATCAAATCTTATATCTAAGCACCTAAAACGTATAAAAGAATCATAAAGGTAGAAGATTCTTTTCTCTTTATGCTCACATTTGAATATTGACATTGTTTTTATTCATAGATGTAAAACATGTAAAAGACTAGCAAAACAGGAAATGTGTAAGCTAAGACAGAGAAAGCACTAAATGACCTGTAGCCATTTTAGACTTCCTCTGTTAACAATCTTTAGTGTCCAAACAGGAAACTAAAAAGAGATGGGCATCATTATCATTATTGTTATTGACTTCAAAGGAAGTTCTTAAAGTTAGTTCTCCAATTTTGATAGCTACTTTGTTATTGTTTTGATTTTCTGTCTTTATAAAAGAATAAGAATTTATAGGTGAGTGTGATCTCTCTCGCTCTCTCTCTCACACATACAAAGTATGGATATCTGACAGAAAGATAGGTTAAGGGAAGCATTTGTAAATTTAGCATGTTCAAAAAATAAAATTGGTATTAAATTTATAATATTCCTTATATATATATATATATATATATATATATATATATATATATATATATATATATATATAATTTATATTTAGGATATTAAAAAACAAAAACATTAAAAATCGCTACACAATTACAATTATATTTCAACACTACAAATGTGTCTCTTTGGGCAATGTTATACTACTGGTGAGTGAATAATTAATTCAATTTCTAAAGCAGAATACATCCTCTTTTTTCAAGAGGTGAAAAAAAAAAAGCCAGAATAAAAATAGACTAGTAGGCTTTACTGTGATTAACCAGTCGAATGTGATTTACACTAAATTCAAACTCAACAATAAAAATTTTTTCATACAGGTCATGACATGAAGTTGCCTGCATATAAATCTTAGACAATTTCCTTATGGACAGATACAAAAGGTTACACTATTTCATAAGATGTATAGAAGTCTGGTGTTCAACTTTCCTAATAGGTAAAAGTGAAAGAGATAGGGAGGTAATTTAACATAGTGCTAACCAGTTATATGTTA